CTTTTAACTTTGATACTGTAAAAGTAAACACATGGATACTAATTGTAATTTATGAACAAGCTAGATATGCCTATAGATCTATGAAAGTGTAGAAATCATGAGTTTCTGATTGCATATAGAAATCTTACAATCCTTAATTTATATGGACCAATAAACCTTTTACTTCCGTCAAGTCGTGAAGTTTTACTTGTTTGGACGTGTTAATTCAGGAAAAAATGATTAATTATGATGTCCTCTTCCTATTGCATAATGAGTTGGTCATCATTAATGATGACCAGCTCATTATGCAATAGGAGAGGGACACCTTATCTGTTCTCCATGTTGGTTCCATATTTTGGGTCACTGTAGCAAATTAAGCTCTTGTGTGGACCTAAAAGAGACATTATTGATCCACATGCCATACTTGAAGCATTTCTCTACGGACCCCAAGGATGCACAGAATATTAAGCTTATATCGTGCCATAAACAATTAAAAAAATGAATTTTCTTTTTGGCTTACTTGGATCAATCTCAGTGCTAACAAGCTCCAAAACGACATTCCTCCCAATTTTATCAGAGAACGCATCCAACTGATCCTCAGCCTTCTCCTTCAACCCCTGCTTCATCTTCCTCCTCACTGTCACTGCTGCCCTAACCCTAAACTCCACCGGTTTCTCGACCGCCTTCGACGCCACCGTCATCAAGTTCTCTGCTATCGCCGCCGCGATCACCGGTGTCCTCAGTTGTCTCCCACTACGGCAGCACCTCTGTTTTGATTGGAAACAGAGCCTTTGAGAGGTTAGATGAGGGAGGAGGTTCGATCTTTGAAGGAAAGAAGAGGTTAATAGCTCCTTCGAAGCTGCCATCGGGGTTCCTTCAATGGAGAAAATGGTGGGTTTTTCAGGAGAATTGAGCTTTGCTTCTCTGCGATTTTGTATCCGCGTTGAGACTTTTTTGGGTTCTTTTTGAGGTGTAACGAGACGCCGGGGGGTGGTATTTATAGGGAGAGATAGGGAGAGTTGGAGGGTATAAGGGTAATTTTGTTTAGAATACTCGTTTAGAGAGAGCCACGTTTTTTGAATTTTGCAACAGGGGAAATGTGAAGTGAAAAGCTCGTAGCTTCTAGGTAATGTAGAAGCGTTGTTTTTGCTGTGAGGTCCTCTGCTTTCTGCTATTTGTAAATGAATACTTACTTAATACATCTTTGCATTTTCAAATTGAAACCTCCCATTTAGTTACAACTTCATGGCTATAATATAAACGAAATTATTTTTCAATTAAGCAGTATTAAGAAGGCAAACCAGAATATGGAGTATTTTAGTTCGGGGTTATCATATATAGCTGGTGAGTGGAGAAATTGACGGGATACAGTTCTCTGTGCGAATTAAGTAATTCGAGATGTCAACTTAAAAATATTAAATACCACATGCTAGTATAAATAAAATATGCCTTTGGAGTCCATACACAAAATCCAGATAGAATACACATAGTAAATATGTCATTTACTACGCATCACTGTTAACATAATTTTTAACCTTTTTGAAGAAGTTAGGAATCAATTTTAATCCAAAAGCTATAGCTATCAGGTATTGACCCAAACTCCTATTTAAACTCATCACTCTTTCTTATCTTATCCGATGTGGGACTATACTCACATATTAATCACCTCAGCAACTCTCCCTTAATTTGTGAGTATATTTCAATTCAAATATAATTCAATCTTCCACGGAATTCACTAAGTTTTTACACCACTTCACTCATCGGCTAACCAATTCACAAACTTTTTCACCACTCCACTCAACATATAGCTATCAAACATCCGTAGGAACTTCCACCACTTCACTCATGATAGCTAACTAGACTATATCACTCCTACGGGCATCCATGGATTCTCCCGACACCTTCGGGCTTCATATCGAAGATCATCTGTTTTTTTTTTAAATTACTTGGACCATGACCTTAGCTCCGATACCACTTGTAATCAATTTTAACCGAAAAGATATAGCTATCAGGTATTAACCCAAACTCCTATTTAAACTCATCACTCTTTCTTATCTTATCTGATGTGGGACTATACTCACATATTAATCACCTCAACAACTCTCCCTTAATTTGTGAGTATAGTTCAATTCAACTATAATTCAATCTTCCACGGAATTCACTAAGTTTTTGAACCACTTCACTCGTGGGCTAACCAATTCACAGACTTTTGCACCACTCCACTCGTGAGCTAACCAGACCATGCATTTAACACATAACTATCAAATATCCGTAGAAACTTCCACCACTTCACTCATGGTGACTAACTACACTATATTACTCCTACGGGCATCCATGGATTCTCCCGACACCTTCGGGTTTCACATCAAAGATCATCTATTTTTTTAATTACTTGGACCATAACCTTAGCTCTGATACCACTTGTGGGGGATAAATAAGGTCCAATCTAGAGTTGATGAGCCTTAAACAGAAGTTAGGAAACAATTTTAATCCAAAAGCTATAGCTATCAGGTATTGACTCAAACTCCTATTTAAACTCATCACTCTTTCTTATCTTATCCGATGTGAGACTATACTCACATATTAATCACCTCAATATAGTGTTGCCTATACAAATTAAGCTCCCATTATTCTTTATTTGATGAAGCAAGATGGGCTTATAGAGTTTGTCTACTTGGGTTAGTCAAGTAGAACTAAAAACTAAAACTAGGATAATCTATGAGATAAAATTTTATAGTGTTAGTTAATTAAAATTAGAACTAGGATAAATTTTATAGTGTTAGTCAACTAGAATTAGAAAAAAATTAGAATTAAGATAATGGTAAAAAGTTGTCCTATTTTTTACATTTTTCTATACAGAATATGAGAGTTCTAAATTTCTATTTCTCAAATTATTCTAAGTTTTAGGCTAGAACTATTTGGTAATACACTAAAAATCTCCTATTTATTTCTTATTTTTATTTTCCATATTTCTTTTATTTTGTGCACCTTCTCTTCCTATAATGGTTATGACATCATCTAATCATACTATCAAATTAGACCACCTCTCCTCTTACTCCTCTCTTTGCATGCTATTTTCCTTTTTTTAACCGAGTATTAGATTTATATAATTATTTTAAAATAAAAAAAATCATATATCCTTAATTTTCAAAATTTATGTAATTTGAGATATGAGGGTAAGAGATTTGGTTTTGTAAAAAAAAGAAGGAAGTAGAAAAAACTTTAATTCTTTAGATTTGTACTATAATATTTGATCATAAAAAATAAATTTTTTATGAACTATTGTTATAATAATGAATAACAATATATAATATTCTAACCAAAAGTTGTTCAACAATAAATAATATTTTATATTAAATAATTATTAATAAATAACAGTAAGTTTAAAAGTATAAATAGTAATTATATCATTAAAATCCATCAATTATATACTTATTAATTATCACAAATTATCTCACATTATTTTATCAAAATGTACCACTTTAAAAAATTGTTCTTAATTATTCCACTAAGATATCTTTCCCTTAAAAATCGCACTTTAACAATTATCTCGCTTCTTGTGAAAATATTCCAATTGACTTATGCCCACTTAGAAAATATTAGTCGCGTTTTAAAGAAAAGGTCATATTCATATTATACTTGATGTCGTTTTAAAGAAAAGATCATAATTCAAATAATTTTATATTGATTAGGACATAAAATTCGTATTATAACAACAAAAAAAGATTTGAAGTAGATAAATAAATAAGATTTACTGTCGCAAAAAACTTAGAACTTAGACGAAAAAAGAATATATAGTTAAATATTCAATCTTCATCCTCGTGATATCCTAATTTACCTGATGGGGATAATCACAATCATATACAACCTTATGAGATGTATAGAAACATTTCTTTACCCCAAACTTCACTAACTGAATATTGATAACCAACCTTCTGTCCACTTTCCTAATAAACTTTATAGAGTTTCATATCCATTGACACATAGTCCCCTCCGATGCACTAAACTCCAAAGTTATGATGACTGATGATCAAGATCGTAATAGTGTTTATGCTCTAACATAGCCTCGCATATTACTTTCAAGCATTCTTTTTATGGGTCGTAATCTTCACTTAGAAAGTAGTATCTTTTTAAATCCATTTTAATGAATTAGCAATGACTATGAGAATAAATTATGCCTAAATTGCTTTGATACCAACTTAATGTTCCTTTCAGTATGTCGTAACTATGAAGTTCTTGTGAGGGTTTTGAAGTTTACTCTAAACCTTAACAGAAGAGAAGGTTATCCAAGCTCAACGGTAAAAAGTTTGTACTCATGAGGCCATGAACTCAACTTGATAGTGCAACGAGTACAATTAAGCTAGTACTGTGCAAAGCAACTAAAGGTCGGCACGCCATCCCTTTTTGCTAGAGCAAAAGCATCATCTCTCTTAAACTTCCCTTTTATTTTCCGGTCTCTCTCTATTCTTATTTTGAACAGACATGATGCATGCATAGGTCTAATAATATCTAACGAAGAGATAACATGACGACCAAGCAATGGATTTTGGATGCCCTCTCAAGCCACAGATCAACAAGCAGGGGTGTCAATGATTGTGTTGTATCTTAGAGTTAGTAACCTAGAGTCAATGATTGTGAGTGTATGTTGCGTATATGTGCGGTGGATTTGTTGGAGTTATAACTTAAAAACTTGGGTTTGTAGAGGAAAAGAGGAAAAGTTTAGTCCCACATAGGAAATGGAATAGGAAGGAAGAGTCTTTATAAGCCTTCCCTTTCTCTCCTATGCCTAGAAGAAAACAAAAGGTTATGCTCCACACGCGCGCGCCGGCCGGGCGCCGGGCCGGGCTCGGGGTCGGGTCGGGTGGCGCGCGCACACGACCTGCGGACACGAATGAAGCTCCGGATTAATGGGCCCTTAATATGCTAACATTTTTATTTTTATTTTTATTTTTACTAATTGGAACTGTTTAAAACGTGATTAACATTTTTAAAATGTTTAACGGCCAGAATTAATTGGAGAGATTTATGAACTTTAAAACTAAATTAAAACGTAAATGAAACGGTAATATTCATGAGAATTAAAACAGAATCAAAACGGAAAAAAAAGTTTTTATGAGGATTTAATTAGGTATTGAAAAACGTTCATTCTCAACCTCTATATAAACAGCAAGCTGCGAGGGTAGAAAACACAGTGTGAAAAACACAAAATTCTCCTCTTCCTTCTCAGCTCTGTTCTTCTTCTTACACTTGCTTGCTATTACAACTTGCTGGTTCCCTGAAAGTCTAGAAGAGTTCGCAAAGCCTTCTTGAAGCTCGTGCCGACGAGAAGGAGGTCGCCTGACCGAGGGTCGTTGTATCTCCGGGGACTTTTGCCGCGTAGCCCTGTACGAGAGGGGGCAATTAGTTTCTTGGGACAGTGCTTGCACGCCTCGACCATCAGGCTATATTCTAAACTCAGTTTAATTTTATATCTATTTTGAATCATTATCTAATTCTGTTAAAACTGCATTTTGTGCTAATTACACTCTAAACAGATTATATTACCAACAATCCAAGAAACTAATTAGTGCTGTTTAGAATAGTATCATGATTAGCATTCTGATTTTCATGTTAATGATGTCTGCAATACTTAAAAACGAAATGTTACACTGCATGATTATTCTGTTGAATGAATGCTTTATATATTTCTGTTGCATTATAATAACAAAACTATTCATTCATCATCAGATTATGGCTACAAGTGAAATTATGTCTGCTAAACCAGAGAAGTTTGATGGGAACAATTTCCGTCGTTGGCAAAACCAAATGAGATTTTGGTTAACAACCCTACATCTAATAACAGCCATAGAACCAGATAACCCATCTTCATCTAGACCAGTTACTAGGCAATCTTCCTCATCTTCCTCCACAGATTCCATTCCTATCCCAAGAACACCTCAAGAAATAGAGTATCATTGTCTACATAGAATCTTAGGAGC